AGCGGAAAGGGGGGGGCGGGTGTGCAGGCCCCGGCGCCGCCTGACCGCTCCGCTACCCCGCAGCGTGGGCGTCTTCAAGAATGGCCGTGTGGAAATCATCGCCAACGACCAGGGCAACCGCATCACGCCATCCTACGTGGCGTTCACGCCCGAGGGGGAGCGCTTGATTGGGGATGCCGCCAAGAACCAGCTTACATCCAACCCCGAGAACACCGTGTTTGATGCCAAGCGGCTCATTGGCCGCACCTGGAACGACCCTTCCGTGCAGCAGGACATCAAGTACCTGCCGTTCAAGGTGGGCCCTGAACGCGGAGGGGTGGATGGTGGGAGGGGGGCCTACCTGTCTGGTCAGAAGAGTGGGCTGCTTCTTGCCTGAGAAGGTGAGGCTGCTGAATCATGGTGCCCTTTTGAGCAACCCTGCGGAGGGTTAGGGTGCAGTGATGTGGCCATGGTGTATAGACGACAGTTCCTTGTGTTAAGTAGTGTTGAAATTATGTCTCGTGACATAGAGGCTTTGCTTAATCTTCAGAGAGAAAGAAACATGCGGACAAGTGGGAATAATTCTGTGAATTGTTGAATGGGACAGTATGCGTTGTTCTTCTTAGGTTGTTGAAAAGAAAGCCAAGCCCCATATTCAAGTCGATGTTGGAGGTGGACAGACAAAAACATTTGCTCCTGAAGAAATTTCTGCTATGGTCCTGACAAAGATGAAGGAAACTGCAGAGGCTTACTTGGGGAAGAAAGTAAGTTCATGAGTGCTACTAGTAAGAAGTTAAAGCAGCAGCTTTACAAAACTAAAGATGGGTGGGCTGGATCTGTGGACTAACCTTGAAATCCTAAAGTCTGTTCAGTGCTGCTGGCCCCTGAGGCAGCCCAGTTGAATGGGCTCAGCTGGTAGTGGGTTTTTGCCTCTCTTTAAAGAACAATGGGGTAATTATCAGCATTGCTATGGTTATTTAAAAGCTATGTGCTTTTTTTTACAATTTTGGAATCAAAATGAATCTCTTGCTCCTTATTTAGGTTACCCATGCTGTTGTTACTGTGCCAGCCTACTTCAACGATGCTCAGCGTCAGGCTACGAAAGATGCCGGTACTATTGCTGGGTTGAATGTGATGAGAATCATTAATGAGCCGTAAGTAGCCTAACCTATCCTGCCTGCCGGGGAGGTGGGGGGCGGTAGTCCCGGTTTTCTGAATGGGCTGTTCCCTCTACAGAACGGCTGCTGCCATCGCTTACGGATTGGACAAGAGGGAGGGTGAGAAGAACATCCTCGTGTTCGACTTGGGTGGCGGAACTTTTGATGTCTCCCTCCTCACAATTGACAATGGAGTCTTTGAAGTTGTGGCTACTAATGGCGACACTCACCTGGGTGGAGAAGACTTTGACCAACGTGTTATGGAACACTTCATCAAACTCTACAAGAAGAAAACTGGAAAAGATGTCAGGAAGGATAACAGAGCTGTGCAGAAGTTAAGACGGGAAGTGGAGAAAGCAAAGCGAGCCTTGTCATCTCAGCACCAGGCCAGAATTGAAATAGAATCCTTCTTTGAAGGAGAGGATTTCTCAGAGACGCTTACTCGAGCCAAGTTTGAGGAGCTGAACATGGTAAGTTTAGAAAGGTAAAGTTACATTGCCTCAGCTCTAGATTGGAGACTTGTGGATGTGCAGTATTTCATGCTCTGACACTGCACTTTGGGGTATAAATAACTTCCTGCTTGCACTGAAAAGGAGGCAGCTGCTCCTTGCCAGGGTAGCTGGGGCTGTGTGTGTGTTAATGACAGCTGAGGTCTCGTCAAGGCTGGTCATAAAGCCAGCTGATGTTCTTCTACAGTGGTTGTCCTTTGTACCCTAAGGCTGCATAAATCAGAGGCTAGGCATGTGGGAATACAGTCTTACAGTCCTGGGCTTTTTTTGTCGTCTAGGACCTGTTCCGTTCCACTATGAAGCCTGTCCAGAAAGTTCTGGAAGATTCTGACCTAAAGAAGTCTGACATTGATGAGATTGTTCTTGTTGGTGGCTCTACTCGCATCCCCAAAATACAGCAATTAGTTAAAGAGTTCTTCAATGGGAAAGAGCCTTCTCGTGGCATTAATCCAGATGAGGCTGTAGCCTATGGTGCGGCTGTCCAGGCTGGCGTTCTCTCTGGGGACCAAGATACAGGTAATGACACCTTCACTCTCGCTTCAAGAGAGCGTTGACTCTGAATAGTGGATATTAGTTACTGACAAATGTAGTAGAACTTCTTTTCCAGTCCTTAAGAAGTTTTGTGCCTCTGAGACCTCAGGATCCTGGTTGCAGTGATGAGATGTTGTTTCTTTCAGGTTGAAGTCATGTCAGTCTTCCCTTGATCTGTTACAGGTGACTTGGTGTTGCTTGATGTCTGTCCTCTGACACTTGGCATTGAGACTGTCGGAGGTGTAATGACTAAACTGATTCCAAGAAACACTGTTGTTCCCACAAAGAAGTCTCAGATCTTCTCCACAGCTTCTGACAATCAGCCAACTGTGACAATCAAGGTCTATGAAGGTGAGTGTCGCCTGTGGTGGACCATGTTGACAGCTGGAGTCTGTCTACAGGACTTTAATACTTGCTACTGTCTTATCACAAAGGCTCTAGATACTTCTAGATGGTTATGGATGTCTCCTTATGGAGAAGAGCTTGGTAACAGTGCTGGCTTTCTGAAGCTGCTCTGACCAGGCGTCTTGACCTGCATCAAAAGCTGTTACTGGAATGTTTTTCAAATGTGTCTTTTTCCATGGCTCTGTCCTGAAGAGCTCTTCAGAGCAGGGGGTGATGCTGTAGGAGGTGTCTGGACAGATGTCAGACTGAAATTAACCTTACCTTTAAGAAGTGTGTAGCTTGTGGTTTCACAAAGTACAACCACAGCTAGGAAAGAAAGAAACCGTATCTTATTGTCTTCCAGGTGAGCGTCCCCTCACCAAGGATAACCATCTTCTGGGAACTTTTGATCTCACTGGAATCCCTCCTGCCCCTCGTGGTGTCCCCCAGATCGAAGTTACCTTTGAAATAGATGTGAACGGAATCCTCCGTGTCACAGCTGAAGACAAGGGCACTGGGAACAAAAACAAGATCACGATTACAAATGATCAGAATCGGCTGACACCAGAAGAGATTGAGAGGATGGTTAACGATGCTGAGAAGTTTGCTGAGGAAGACAAGAAGCTTAAAGAGCGCATCGATGCCCGGAATGAGCTGGAAAGCTACGCCTATTCTCTGAAGAATCAGATTGGGGACAAAGAGAAGCTGGGTGGTAAGCTGTCATCTGAAGACAAAGAAACAATAGAGAAGGTGGTAGAGGAAAAGATCGAGTGGCTCGAAAGCCATCAAGACGCAGACATTGAAGACTTCAAAGCAAAAAAGAAAGAGCTGGAGGAAGTTGTTCAGCCAATTGTTAGCAAGCTCTACGGAAGCGCAGGCCCTCCCCCTGGTGAAGAGGAAGCAGCAGAGAAGGACGAGTTGTAGATACTAGCATCTCTGAATGTTGTGTGTGTATATATTGGACTCAGGAACACTTGTTTAAAATATTGAACTCTTAATTTGGAATGTAACTTTGAATCTTCACTCGTGAGTGGAGCTGGAAACGCTAGCCCGAAGTGGCTGTATACTGCTTTTCGTTAGCAGTTGCTTGATGTCTGGGGAGGGAGGGGTAGCAGGGGGGGAGTGTAAATGCGAAATGGGTTTAGAAGTCTTGGCAGTGGAAGCGTTCTATTTAACAACTCGGTCATGTGAATTTGGTGTAGAACTTTTCTACCTGAAGTGACCACAATAAATTTGTTATTTACACTGGACTCTGTTCTAGTTGTGTTTTCCATCACCTAGTTACAGCAGCTAGTTTTAACCGGGATGTGGACATCATGACCGTGATCCTGAACGACGGGATTCAGATCAACCATCGGTACGGTTCCCCTTCAAGGAAGGTAAGCCTTTCAGGGGATCCTGTAAGTGGCAACAGCCCTACCCTCAGGTGAGCTTTGCGCCTCCTGAAGTCTGGCTGCCCTACAGCTCCTCTTGCGGAGGAGAGCCCCGAGTTTACTTGGCGTGGAGAAAGCTGGAAAGGAGAAGGTTGAGAGGCTCGAAAGCTGTAACCATGCGGGCACTGGAGTCTCTGCAGTCAGAGTTCCTCCCTGCCTTGGGGCTACTGCTCCATGCTGGTGAGCCTTGCTGAGGTCTTCTAAGGGGACCTGACCTCAGCCTGTGCGGTGCTGACAGACGCTTGTACCTCTCTGCTGTTGGCAAGCAGCCTGTTCAGGGGTGGGGAGCAGGTGGTGCAAACAGCTCCGTTGCCCTTGGTTGAATGGGAACTCCTGACAAGCACTACACCCTGTTTCTGAAGTGTCCTGGTATACTTGGAACTGTAGTGAGGCTTATGATGTAATAGATCCTTATAAGGAAGGGGGGTGGTCCCTCTTTGCTTGTGCAGCCTCACTGGAGCCTGCGAGCCTCTTGCTGGAGAGGTAGGTTATCAATCAATCGGAGCTCCGGCAGAGCTATTTGCATGAGTGATGATGCAAACTTAAATGCAAAGCATGTCAGGGAGAGGAGACTGGCCTAACTACAAATACAACTTCCTGCAGTATTAAAACTGTTTTTAGGAGCTTTATTAGAGTCTCACATGAGACAATAGCCTAGTTTTCTGAAAACTAGTCTACACTTAGGCCTTTTTTTTTTTTAAAGAAAATTTAATTGGAACTCAGTCTTTTTATTTGATCCATGATTTTCATCCAAGCCATGGGATTAGATAATTAAACTGAGTACAGAAGGAGCTTTTGTGGTGCCTGCTCCAATACCTCCTTAAAACCACTTAGCACTTTACATTTCCCCTGGTGTGGGGGACACTTTTCTGGTTTTCATTCACTCTTTTTCAAAACAGTGAAAGCTAAAACTCAAATCATCCCCCCCAAAACTCTGTTTCCAGGTAACACTGTGGCTTTGCAGATGGAAGTGTTTCTGTAGCCAACAGTATGTGAGGCTTCATCGGGCTGAAAGCTGTCCAGGCACACTCCAGCAACCTGTGGTCAAGCGACAGCAGCTGGAGCCTTTCTGCAGCAGCAGCTGCCTGCCCCAGGGAATGCTGTACCCGCCGCCAGCAGGACTGCGCACAGAGAAAGCGCCTGTACCTCAGGGGTGCGGTAGCACAGTGCCATCTGTTTGAGGGTAAGAATTTGTTTATTGGAAAGGAGAATTAACTTAATCTGACAGTACTATAAAACCTGTAGAAAAGGGCGGTGCTGTGCAGGACCGCAGCTCTGCTATTCGATCAGACTGACAACACAGTCTCTGTATATTTCCCCCTGTGTGTCCATCCCACCAAATACTAACAGTAGATGCACGACTGTGTCTTCAGCGCACCCCTCATCCTGTAGTAGATGCATGACTGTGTCTTCAGCGCACCCCTCATCCTGGCTGTTGTGGAGGGGGTCAGCTTTGTCACCTGCTGACACAGTTGCCTCTTTCCCAGCTTTGTCTTCCCAGGTGACAGCTCCTGCGTCTCCGTGCTTGCCAGCCCGCCAGGGAACAACGCACATAGCGTGGTCCAGTCTCCCAGCAGGCAGAGGGGAATCAAACTGTAGAAGTGTCCACTGCTGCTTCTCTGCAGTGCAAAGACACACATTCACATCTTCAAATGTAGCTTCACAGGCTTAGAAAGCATGCTGGGACAGTGACATCATTCAGACTAGTTTTCAACATTATGGAGCATTTCAGCATTTAGTCTTGTAGTGGTGTAACTCCAGAGCAATGACACTGACTACTAGGAGGGTGAGGGGGGTAATGCATTTTCTACCAGACTGGCATTTACCATTACACAGCTGAGAAGTCTCCCTACCTGTGTGATACTTGTATGTAGTATCTAGTGTCCCCTCTGGACCTATTCCACCAAAAATGTACAAGTGGTCTTTAAACACAGCTGATGAGTGGGATGCCCGTCCTCCTGGGACATCACCAGTGGCTGGTATCTTAACCCATCTCATGTCATCTGTTAGGAGAAAAAGAACATGTCTGTGGTTATGCATTACAAAAAACCTAAAAGTTTGGATGTTTTAAGCAAATATGGCAATATTTTAGCCACTTAAAAACTGATCTTTTAGAAAAAAAGGTTCCCCAAAATCAAAACACATCACACAACAGCTATTGCTCTGTGGTACCTATGTCCATACTTACTTATATCAATGCAGAACAGATCATTGTAAAAAATATCACCAGCTAAACCTCCGTGTACGAAGAGTTTGGTCCCGACTGCAACCACAACGTGTCCATGCCGAGGAGAGGGGGGGTCACCATGAGTAGCTGGCTGGGACCAGGTCAAGGTGGCTAAAAATGGGAGTACACGTGCATTAGGAGGAAAACTCTGGTAGCTCTACAAACCGGTGACCCCAGAGCCCTGCTGAGGCTTCCTAAGGAAGCGCCTCCAGTGGAGTTGGAGAAGAGTTAATGCCGTATCATGAAGTGCAGGCAAGCCCTCCGATGGAGCTCCGTGTGCTGTTTGGGTCACCCAGTAGCAGGACAGATTAATGCAAACTGGAAAGCAAACCCTTTCTGGCGTGCACAGGGCTGCAAGAGTGAACAGGACAAGTCTGACAGTACATGAGCAGCACAGGACGATGCCACCACAGAAAGGAATCAGCTGTTGGGCAAATGTGACAAACTGCTCTCATCTCCCATGGCGTTCCTCATCCCAGAGCTTTATGCTGCCATTTTGGCCCAAATTCCCAGTGACTACATAAAGATAAGTGCACATCAACAGCGAGGAACATCCACCCATCCATCTAAACTCGTAGCCAAAGCAGGGCCCAACATTTCCACGTCTTCGACTGAACCTGAAACGCAGACCTCGCATTCAACAGAGGACGGATTCCACCGTTTGGTGTAATGGCCCTTCATGCGCCCAGAGGTACCTGTGTCAAACACGTGAAGCCGCTGGTCTGTAACAGGTTCTGCTCCTTTATCGCCCCCTCCAAACACGTACAGACAGTCTCCTATAGCTGCTGAGGATGTGTGAAAGGTCCTGGGCAGCGGCTGAACACCACTCACTTCAGGACTCTCCCAGGTTCCTATTTCTAACGAAGACATTTGATTAACAAAGCAGTCAACACGGTGACAGAAAACACGCTCCACTCCCCTTCCCAAGTAACAGCCACCAGGAAGGGGCCTGGCAGCAGCTTTGCGGCTGGCCCGTCCCGCACCCCCGCGACCCCCCAGCTCTGTATCTCGGGGCCGGCTCCGGGCCCCGCTCCCGGCGCATGGTGGGGCCAGCGCGGAGACCGAGTTTCGAGGGGAGCCCTGGCTGCCTGAGCCGCCCTTCGGGCGGAACCTCCGGACGGGCCGGCGG